AAATGTATATGTAGAAGCTATAGCAAAATCCGAGCCGATTTCAATGAGACTTGCCAGAGATTAACTTATATTAACTACAGTTCATTGTACAAAACTGTGTGGCAATCGGACAAACTTTGGGTCTTAATTGCACAATTTATATAAAATCGGAAGAAAATATATAGGAGATATATCTAAATATTAACCGATTTTCAAGAAACTTAACACACATCATTGTAGACCTAATGCTTTACGCTATGCCAAATTTCGTGCAAATCGAAAGATATGTAGGGACTTTGGTACACAATTTACATTAAATCGAAAGAAAATATAATTTTTTTGTAGTAATTTTAACTATTATGGGAAGCTTACAAATTTCAGTTATTATTGCTAAACACTGCTAAAAAGCAACCACAAAGAAAATGGTAGCCGAAAACTTCTATTTGAAGCAACTGAAGTTGACAAAATTTGCCATCCATAATTCAAATTTGGCAACTGGCAACGCCACTAAACTGTTGTTACCATCCGTAATCGACCCATTAATAACATACATAATTTGCCCTTCAAATCCATCTTTCCATTTCGACAAAAAGTAGTTATTTATGCCGTCGCCGTATACACATATACATATGAACCGATCAGGACCAAATTTTCCAAAAGTGTTTCTTAATTGAACAGGATCTATCATATCAACATTCAAAGCGATCGGATACAAAATGTGTCTTATATTTGAACCGATGCCTCTCAAATTTTGCAGATGTGCTTGAAAGGTGCTTCCAGTGATTTGTGTCCCCAAAAACTTTCCATTGGGCCCATAGTTCATTGTAGGCTCTATTAAATACGCTGTGCAAATTGCATAGTAATCGTTAAAACTTTTGGTATTTGGTTGCATCCTTTAGATGAAATCGGGTTAAAAAATATATTTGGACACAATATCTAAAAATTAAATATATATATATATATATATATCTAAATACAAACCGGTTCCCATCAGTGAAAGCTATCTACACAAAAATGCAGGGACAAACAGACGGACTGACGGGCATGCATAAATCGACTCACAAAATAGTGAGTCACAGATAGTTAGTATACCCTCAAAAGTAACTTGCTTCATTCTGCCTATTACAAACATATCTACAATAGGGTATTGGGTATAGGCTATAAAATAGGTACTACGCTGTATTTCATTCATACCATTCCTTCCATTTATTAAATGAAACACATTTATTTTATTTTAATTGAATTTATTTGATAATTAATATTAATAGTAAAGTAATTATTTCACAAATTCATCATTTACAGACATTTATACATCAATTAGGTCATCACATTTCTACATTTATTTATTTTTTTTTTTTTTTTTTTTTTTGACGTATTTAAGAATTTTTCTATGTCATATAATTAGAAACAGACATACCTATACATACTATGTATGTATACATATAATATTTTTTCATTTGCACATTTACATCCTATATATAAAAGTATTTATTTATTATTTTAATAATTACTAACAAGAATGCATCTATCTCAATAAATGAGAAAAAATATAACATTTAATTTATTTTCATACACATATTACATATGTATACATATGTGTGAATTAAGGAAATATTTACATAAACTTTTATAACGTACAAAACGTTCACACCTCTACATACATACATGTGTATGTGTACAAATTTAATTGGAATTATTATCCCCGTTGAATGCTTTAAATGATTGATTTCAATTGGATAGATGACGATGATGATGATTGCATTCTCTCCCTCCAGCTAGGGTTTCCAAATCCATGCACATCTAGAATTCTTCTATTGGTTGATTGGATGGATCGACGGTGTTTGTATCAAAACATGAATCTACACCACAATTTACGTATAAACATTTAAAACATTTTGAAAATGTGTTTTCTATAAAAATTTCGTACATACGTACACACATACATAGATATATTATCATCCTACCTAACTACGTACACATATACATGCGATTAAATATAGATATTTACATTTGCAAATGGTAAATGGTTTCTGATGGAAACTGTTGACCCCTTCAAATATGTAGATGGAATTTTTAATTAAAAAAAAATGTGCAGAACATGAAAGCAATCGATATCTTCTCAACCTGAAATTCAATATTACTCGTATACAGATTTCGATGTGAGACAGGTGAAGGATATTCATAGGATAATATAAAATGGGAATGTGTGTGGGGGGTGAGTATCAACATTAAAAGAAGCGTAGAAAATTACACCTCTATTCAATGAATGTTATGTAATCGCTTGTAAGAAAGAAGTCAAGTGTTTTTGATTTGTTCGTCAGTATGTTTGTCATGAAAACAAGGTAAAATGATATAAAAAATAACCAATTAAAATTTATAATCGATTCTCACTTTGAATGAGTATCAAATAACTACAATTAATATTTTTGAATATTATGTAAACTATGGGTTATGACGGTGCGAAATTAAAAAAAGTAAAAATTTTCCTTCTTAATTATAATATAAGTAGATGATTACGTTTAAAATAAAACCAATGTTTTATTTTAATATGGAACATTTGAACGCATGTTAAATTTGTATATGTTAAATAGAAATTATATGGAAAGGCATTACCAATTGCGAAAATGTTTTAACTAAGGACAATATTATATATTCATTTAGGTGACAAAAATAAATGTTTTGCTTTTAAAAATAAAATTTTTTGATTATTTAGTTATTTGATCAGTATTTATGCATTGACATACCAACGCTCGGCTTTGTATTTCAGGCACTTTTTTCTCGACGTGGGTTAAAAAGTTGTTTTCAGTTAATGCTTTCGTTACCGGTATCGTTATTAAGATTTGTAACAATATATTTATATTTGGAAACAAATTTTCGCCACATACTACAATCGCATTAAGTAGATTAGGTGGTCGAGGATCTTTCACTTTTCACGTAGTGATCTACAGATCCACTTTCAGATATCTTTACACTGAAATTGAATGATTTTTTTTAAATAATAATACATAAATATATTATTATTGTTGATAATGGTTTTTTTTTCGAACTCATACATTTAACTTGTACTTCTGTGTACCAACCCTCCTTGACACTGAAACTACAACTTCATAGAAATAAATCAAAATTAAATCTTACCATTTTCCCCTATTTCTTAAAACTATTCTACTATCTCTTCTGAAGATTCGTTAAATATTTGTACAGAATCATATTGCTCAACCCATCGTGTTTCACAATATGAATGTAGTCGTTGCAACATATATAACCTGTAGGAGAAAAATCAGAACCGAGTTGAAATAAAAGAAGTTGTCAGTGTGTGGTGAGGAGCTATTTGCCTATATCAATATAATCATATTAATATAATGTTATGGGATATAGTATTAATATTAATGGAATTATATGGGCCTGCATGTTTTAAATTTCCTATGACTTGGTATTTACTCCACAGAAGATATAATTCTAGTGGTAGTTCGTCTAGTTTACTAGTTATAGAAAATATACTATTGGTCTTATGTAGACTAGATGTGAAATCAAAAAAAAAAAATCAATCCTTGCACTATGGACACAATGCCAAGTTTTGAGTCAACATATCAGTAGAAAGAGCTAGACCACTCAAATTTCGTTCGTATGTTTATAACAAGCCTTTTCCATTTCCTGTTTCTCTAAAAAAATATTTTCTGTGGTGATTTTAGTGATAAAGGAAGAAATAATAGAAAATACATATAGTCATATTACGTATTGCCTTCAGTTTTCTATAAACACTAAAAGTTTTGATGGGTACCAAAGATGTAATTTTATGTACATTTTTAAAAGATATATTTTTTGCCATTTCGAGTTTGGGAAACCCATGTTTTTGACCTGGCAGATATACGGTTTTTGACTTCCTCACTACAATTTTAATCAGCACATATTTGTGTGTGTTCTCCAATAAAAACACTTTCATGATGTTAACGATGTGGAAATTTCAAGCGAAATTAATTTGTTCTTCTTTAAATTGTGTTTCACAAAATGTTACAGTGTACGAAGTGGTAATTTTGACGGGTCAGTATGTCATGACGAGGTGTTGCCATGTTAAAATTATTTTATTTTTGTGGATATAAAGTCAAAGACATAAAAGTATAAAGATAGGACAATTGATACGTAAACAATTTCCAACAGATGGATTTTTCTCTGTTGTTACGATATCATAACAACAGAGAGAACAATATTAAACGTTTTTAATGCTATATCTAAAGCTTATTAAATAAAAAAATATATATTGAGTGTAGATTTCCGATTTTATTTACAATTTATAAACACATTATCGCGTATTGGCGATTTTATTGTTAACATGCCTCTGTAAACCTTGATTCCCCCTGGATATTTTTTCATAAACTATTTTGCCAAAATGCATTTTGTCGAGTCTTTACGGTTTCTATGTCTTTGATAAATTGTTGTGAATCTAATTGCATTATTATTTTATTCAAATATATGACTCCAAAAATTAACTTTTTGCATCAGAAACCTTGGATCTTTGATACATTTATAAAAACGATGAACAGACGAAAATGCGACTCCAGTTAGGATTTTTAGTCACTATTAAGTAACTGGGATATAGAAACAATTAACTTTGGAGTTCTAATGAAGGTTCTCCAGATACCAATTCATACCACCAAGAAATAAAATATTATAAAATTTGGACGGATAGTAAATACATAGACGATCATTAAAATTAAACTTTCTCCACAAAATAACTTTTTTTAATATATTCGAAAACAATTACGTCACAAAAACCAATTGAACTCATTTACATAAAGCTTTTGGTGAATACTACAAATGAAATGATTACACTTCATCAAAAAATACAACGTAAGGAAAAATAAAACTTTAAAAATTAAAAAATGTATTAATTATATTATAATTATCGTATATTAGACTATTATTTCCATCAGAAACTTTAAACTATATTTATTATAAAACTAATTTGATTTTAACAATAGCATAGATTTTCTATAACAGAGGACCCTAAATGTCACAAAGTGGGCGATTTCTATTATGTTTACATAAACTTATTCAAATTATCCGGTTCTAATTGCCTAAGTGGGGCCTGGCACTACCGCAACACCGTTGTTTCCGCACATGAAGATTGACTCTGAAAATAAAAGATGAAAAAGATGTAACATAGAGTAAAGTAAATAAATAAGTAAACACAACAAATTATATAGAAATACATATCGACGCCTCCGAACCATAGTATGCTAAGTCGACTTAGCATATTTTAAAGTTTTTATACCCTCCACCATAGTATGGAGGGTATATTAATTTTGTCATTCCGTTTGTAACACATCGAAATATTCATTTCTGATCCTATAAAGTATATATATTCTTGATCAGGGTAACATTCTAAGACGATCTAGCCATGTCCGTCCCTCTGTCCGTCCGTCTGTTGTAATCACGCTATCTTCCGAAGGAATTGAGATAGGTTGCTGAAATTTTGCATAGGGTTGTCTTTTGTCTGCAGGCAGGTCAAGTTCGGTCCACGTTTAGGCATAGCTCCCATATAAGGGTACCCCCCAATTTTCGGTGTTTTGGGGTTCTTTAGCGCGTTTTTCAACCGAATTCGCTGAAATTTGGTACATTGTGTTCTTATTGGGTACTAAATGGCTCCACAAAAAATTATAAATATAGGTCTACTTTTTCTGGTAGCCCCCATATAACGGTACCTCCTAATTTTCAGTATTTCGGGGGTTTTGGTCGTATTTTTCCACCGAATTGGCTGTAATTTAGTACTTTGAGTTCTTAATAGGTACCAAATATCTCCACAAAAAAATTATGAATATAGGTCCATTTTTTCGGGTAGCCCCCATATAAGGGTACCCCCAATATTCGGTATTTTGGGGTTCTTGAGCACGTTTTTCAACCGAATTCGCTGCAATTTGGTATTTTGTAGTCGTTTATGGTAACAAATCTCCATACCAAAAATTATTTACATTCGCACCCTTTTTGGGCTAATCCCCATATAACCCTTTTTTTATATTAAAATAGTTATCTAATTTGTTCCGCGTTTTGGGTTTGGTTCTAAGAGTCTGTCGTAATCATTTAACCTACGGAGGATATCGAGATAAAGCTAGAACGTAAGGTTCGATAATGAACTATACATGAACTATAACCCGCATTTAGGCCTAGCACCTGTGTGGGAGGTATCAGAGGGAGTGGACCAATAGTCCACATTTTCGAACCTGAACTAAGTTAGGAAGAATAATAAGATTGACACAGGTTGGATGAAATCACTATTTTGTGGAACATGGTTCACATTATGGTTTACATAATCGCGTTGTAGAAATGTCGGTACAGGTCCACTTTTTGGTATTTTCCCTACATTTTCATTTCAACTACCTTTTAGTATATCTATGGTGGAGGGTATCAAAAGTTCGGCCCGGCCGAACTTAACGCTTTTTCACTTGTTAGATACTACGGTCCTTAATTTATATTCTCTGAAATTTTGGTAACCATCGGCCAATCCAAACCAAAGTTATAAGCAAAAATGTACTTAGCATGGCCCGTAAGATATATGAAACTTCCATACTTTGAGAGCTTCTACTGAAAAACTCACTTTTCAGACTTAGCATACTATGGTTCGGAGGCGTCGATATGTTATAATATTTACCGTTTGCATAGAATTCGTTCGCAACTTTCGCCTTGTGCTGATGAATGTGGTGCATGTGTTCACACGCTGCAGGTGGAATGCATCGTCCGTTCCTGAAATAAAATAAAACATGAGTAATAGTGGAAAAAAATTGTTAAAGTACTACGAGTACTGCTATTTTGTATGAACATAGAAAATTAAAAAAGTAAATATATATCTTAATACTGTAATATTGTTCTCAAACTAACGGCACTGGTCTTCTAAAGCTAACACGGATACTTTAGAGATATACCTCGAAGTTTTTGTATTAATAATATGTTCTTTCCATGAATATTGTCGAATGCATAAAATAAAAGAGTTTCGCATATAAAATACTAAAGACGGTCGATTCCATTATAAAAAGGCTACACATAAATGTGTACCTATATTGATTTACTCAAATCGGTATTATAAAGGAAAAAATTGTGTTCAATCTCAGAGGAATTCTAAAATTTCTGAAGCCTTAAAAAAATTGGGTTACACCAAAAAGTTATCACAAGGTCATATAACACCGAGTAATACCAAAAATTTTTAATTTAAGTCAATTCGTTCGAACCATTCAACAAACCTATTGTCAACATGTGGTGTGCATTCAAGAATATATAAACGGTGCATTTGTACTGGGACAATGTCATTGTAAATTGTCAGCTAGTATTTTTAACATACTGCGAATCCTCCAACATTCAGAATTTGTGTACCGTTGTATGGGAATCTGATCATGGGCTTTTAGTAAGAAATATGTGACAACCACTGAGATCCAAACCAAAATATTATTACAGCTAAAACAAGTAAAACCAGTAAAGAAAGTAGTAAAGTCGGACGGGGCCGACTATATAATACCCTTCACCACTATGGGTATATTAAACAAGACAATTAACATGAAATTGGATGTACTAAAATATGTGATATCTATCTAAATTTGAATATGTTATTCATTTGTTACAATGGGACAGAAGTATGTTAATCGACTTCAAACAAATATCAATAGGACATCCGTTGGGCTAGGTTTGTCCTTCTATAAAACTACGTTATTCTATGGTCAATTTTGTACGTTGTGCAAAATTTCATTCCAGTCTCACAAACATCACTATAGGCTCAATTCAGTACGTTATGCTAAATTTCGTGCAAATCGAAATATATATAGGGACTTTGGTGGATCATTTACATTAAATCGGACGAAAATATAATAGGAGCTATATCTAAATCTGAGCCGATTTTTCCCATTTGAATAGGGCTCGTTCTTGGGCCAAATAAATGAGCTGTGCCAAATTCCATCCAATTCGGATTATAAATGCGACCTGTACTTTGTTTACAATTTAACATCAACAGACAGACGAACGGGCGGACGGACATGCATAAATCGACTCAGAAAGTAATTCTATGCAGGAACTAGGGTCTATCTCGTTTCCTTTTGCCTGTTACAAACATATGCACAAAGACATAATACCCTGTACCACAGTGTGGTGAAGGGTATAAAAATTTCAGCAAACCATAGGCTGACCCTATGGTTTGCGGAGGTCATCTATTTAATGTTGATCAAATCGGTTATTCAATTCACTTCATATTAAATTTACATGTTTGTGGCGTAGTTACCACAAGGTGTGAACTGATGGTGGTGCAACGTTTTGTTTCAAATCGGACATTCCATTCGCCTGAAATTGAATTTATAAATATTGAACGTTTTGACCATAGAACATTCGGACATTCCACCTTCGGAAATGATCTGGACTTGTCAAAGCTAAAGGTTGTGAAAAGTTTGATTCAAATCGAACATTCCCCTCGCCTGATGTTGGATTTATATGACCGAAATAAACGATTTTTTCACTTAATTCGGTTGAAAATTTACACAAAATCCCTAGATCCCCAAAATCTACCCTGAAACGCATGGACCATTTTTGATGGGGAGTTTTTTACTTAATTAGAATCCAAATTTTAAATTACAGTCCAATACCGGGATGATAAGCGGTTACCCAAAAAAGTTGTCCAACATTCATATTTTAATAGAGATATTTTCTACCCAATGAGAACACAAAATACTAAATGTTATATGATTGAAAAACGTGCCGAAAAAATGGGGGTACCGATGTATGGAGGCTACCCTAAAATTCTTCAATATTTGCGAGCACTATCGTGATTTTAAAAAACAAAAATATGTTGTTTATGGGGTCCCAGGTGAATATTTCGAGATTTTGCAATTGGAATCACAATTGAAGTATACACTCCACATTGTGGTAGAGGGATATATTCCCTCCCTTTGGTCTCTTGGTGGGGAAATGTAGTTAAAAACCTCACACTATGGAAAATGGGGCGTAACAGTTATAGCAGGGGCTATGGCAAAATATACCAAAAATATTAAAAGTAGTAGCAGTATATGTGAAAAAATCCAAAGCTAAATATACTGTAATCTATATTGTAATTTCAACTGAGAGAAAGACTTACACCACATTCTTCAAGGTTTATCTTTTCTCGTGATGTTACTTTAACGAACATTTTATGTCAACCTCTGCTAAACATTATTATTATAAACAACCATTTTTGCTTGTAATGTAAAATACAGTTCGCCCTATGCCGGAGGTTTATCCATTATTCTTTGGCATTAAGAAAATAGGCGAAAGGGAAGGAATATTTAGAAATTCTTTATACAATCTACAAATTTATTTTTACAAAATATGAACTATACAAATGTGTGAAAGACAACTTAAGGGTCAAAATCATCTCGAAATATTTTAAGAAATTACAAAATTTGATACAATGTAACCACAACACATTTACATACAGATAAATAATACAATTTACTTTGTGTGCATGTGTATTTTTTCTAAATTAACATATCAAATGTGTGCATACTTTAAGGGATATGCCAAAAAAGGGGGTGCGGTCTACGGCCGATACATGTATGAGACTAAAACATGCAACAATGTTGTGTTTGAAAGAGACATGCAACACTTAAAAGGGAAATAACTACTTTAAAAAATAAAATAAATCATCAACAACAACAACTACAATTGAGAAGAAATTGGTAATCATAATTGTACAAGGAAAACAAAAATAGTAGACAGTGAAAGTTGCCAAAGAAATTATGGTGGCACCTAATTCGTATTTTAGGTTTCCTGATAAGACCTCCACCACTATGACGATTGAATTTGAAGGTCATCTCACCAGTGGTCTCATAGCTACGATCGCCACGCGTGTGCAAATATCGCCGCAGACAGCAGCAGCGTCTCAGGCCGGGCACACGGTAAATTATCTGCAGGAAACCACCGCGGAAACGGGCATTCATGTAGCAGTAAATGATGGGATTGTAGCAACTGTGTGACATCGCCAGCCAATGAACGGCAAACCAGGCATACGGTAATGCTCCCCAACTTCGAACCTCTTCGTCATTTAAAAGTAGCTGCAAATGAAAATAAATAAAGAAGAAGTGGAGAAAAACAGAAGTGGAATTAAAATAAAAACAGAAAACCAACACGTGATTAAAATAATTGTTATTTAATATTATTGAACTATTGGGTAAATGTGTGTATATTAGGGTGTATTTGTCAATGTATTTGAATTTGCGACTATTTATTTGTATGGCATTATATAGGTACTGGTTATTTTAATAATATTCAAAATATTACCAATAAGTTTGCTAATTATCGAATCATAATACTAATATTTCCAGACCACATGGTATCCAGGTCAATTTTTCAATGAATTTATTTCATTCTATGAATATTAAATATTTTTTATAAGTCCACAAAATGCCACATCGACCCTAATATACACACAATACAAATATTTATAGCCGTTAAAAAAGGTAAATAAATGTTAAGGTAGCCATGCCTTGGGGAAATACTTACGGACAGTATATTGAACGGTAGCCAACACATTGTAAAGACAATCACCACAGTCACCATCATTTTAATCATCTGAAATTACAAGGAAGCACGAAAAACAAACATGAGTAAGGAATGCCATTGGCTGTGACAGAGATATATGTATGTATGTATGTTTGTATGAATGTATTCCTGGAAAATGATATAAGAAAATAATTAATAATTGCATTTTGGTAGATAGGTCAGTATTTTTCGTTTTCTACCATTAACACGGCATCTGTTTTGATTTGAGTTAAACTTTAACGAGATGTGAAAAATGGTTTCAAATTTTAAAATTTAAGAAGAGATAGAAAGGGTGTATTTGTATAAAGTCGATACACAAATTAATTGGGGTATAAAATAGATTGATCCCTATAATAGTACGGTCAGGTTTAAGATATTTTAGAGGGAAACAATAAATGGTATCAAACGTGGAAAGACTAAACAACGGAAGTAAACAACGGTGTGGATCAGTGTGATGAGGCGGCCTTCAATCCCCACATTAAATCCTTCTCTCACGCCAATAGGAACACAACGAAACCAATATTACAGCAGTATATGCCATTAATCGGACCTTCAATAAGCACTAACAAACAACCTGCCGGTTGTCTTTATAATCATCTTATCGCGACGAAATATGACAGAATGGAAAATATGTTGTCTCTCTTTGTTATGAAACAGTGGATTCTAAGGACATTTCACTAGCGAAGATAAATACGAATGTTGACTTCACTGATGTTTATCATGGGTTGTAAATCAAAAGAAAAGCTAACATTGTGGAAGGCTCAAAAGTGAACCTGATTGAAATACAGAATTCAAAATAATGCATATTGCTTAAAACCCCCATATAGATCAATGGATTGTTGTTTTATCCCAAGAACAAAGCCTATTGAAATTTGTCTAGAATGAAGGTGGAGTGAATACTAAATTTAGCTGGCGTGTGACAGAACGGTTGTTCCATAAGCCGAGCCTAAAAAAATTTCCAAGCGCGTCGGTCTTGTGCGCATCTCATTCAATTGAAAGTCCTTTTTCCAATATGTTGTCTTCTACTTGATATTTTCATCAACATCACTTGACTCGCTTTTATATTCCTTTTGAGCTGGGGCAACTTCATTCATTCTCACTATATCGATGTCCGAGCAAAGATGGTGTAGATCATGGTTCATTCGATGACGATATTCACTGTCGACGCAGATCGTTCCATAGATCTTCCGGAGAAATTTTCTCCCAAACACTCCAAGAGCTGACTCATCTGCTTGCGCAAGTACCCATGCTTCAGATCCATACAACAGTTTTGTTTATGACGGTACCGAGGTATATAAAATCGTTCACCGTTTTTCTCGCCATTTACTTCCCACTCCACTTTGCCAGTGCCCTTCTCAATTCGTTCAAAGGTGGCTGTTACCGCTCGTAATGTTCGACGAATTATGTCGATGTTGTCGTCGTATGCGAGTAGGATGCAGTTTTGTGTCGGAATGCATTTTCGCTTCACATTTGCATATCGTATGACCTTTTCCAGAAGGATGTTAAACGACAAACTGTTACCTTGTCTGAATCCCCGTTCGGTACTGAAGGGCTTCGAGAGGACCTTTCCGACTTTAACTGCTGATCGTGTGCCAGTTAAAGTTATTATATGCATATCCTATTAATTTTACAGGAATGCTGAACGCAGACATGGCTTTAAACATCTCTGATCGGATAGAGCTGTCGAATGCGGCTTTATAGTCGACAAATAGGTGGTATGTGTCGATGTGTTTTTCGTGGATCTTTTCCAGGATCTGGCGCAGAGTGAAAATGTGGTCATTGGTAGATTTGCCCCGCATGAAGCCGCATTGGTATAGAATTTCACACACCACGCTGCGACACTTTATATGCGATGGGAAGGAGACTTATTCCTCTATATTTGGTACATATCGTCTTGTCTCCTTTTTTGTGCACTGGATACATGATGCTGAAGTTCTTATCATTGGGAATGCATTCCTCTAGCCAAATTGTACTAAACTGCTGGTGCTGACCAACATCTGACCACCGGTCTTGAATAGTTCGCCTGGCAATTCATCGGCACCTGCTGCTTAATTGTTTTTCTGCCGATTAATTGATACTCTGACCTCATCTTGACTATGTGGGGTCGTCAACATTAGGGGGTTGGTTTTCTTTTTCGTTGCTTTTTTATAATAGGAGGGTTTTCCGAGTGTGGCCAACTAACCCGATGCCTCAACCCATTTTTTATAGTACTTATGGGTAAACTCTCGGCACATATCAGCTCACTATTTCAACGGATAATGAAAGTAATTACGCCAGGTGACATCGCGGGGAGGTCAATGTCCACAATTAAAATGAAACAGGGACCAAGATAAGACCGGGCTTTGCCATGTTAAAGCCAATCAGAGCCGTGGTTTGGTATATATCATCCCCTACGTCGAATTATGCTAGTCCGCATGTCTGTCTGTTGAAATCACGATAGAGATCGTAATATTTCAAATAGAGCTTTGCATTGGTATTGCTATTACTCCTAGGATGGTGGATATTGCAAATGGGGTATATCTTCCTACTGAAAATTATCAATATTACTCCAGTTCTTAGTGTAGTTTTCAACAGAATCAGCTGTAAATTGTTATTTTAGATTCACTTAGGCTATCAGATCTTCCTACGGAAATTTTTAATATTGACCCATGTTTCGTGGTAGTTCCAATATAAATGTACCTCCTAATATTCGGTATTTTTATGGTTATGGACACATGTTTCTATCTAATTGGTTGTCATTTCATATTTTGGGTTGTGGCGTGGTAGTAAATCTTTCTACTAAAAATTATCAATATTGGTCCACTTTTTAGGGAAGCCCCCATATAACGCTACACACCAAAGATTTGTATTTTGAGGACCTTGAGCACTACAAAAATTCAAGTGAAAATCTCAAGAACTCTTGAAAATATAGCCGATTTCTTGTGTCAGCATCAAGTGACGTCTAAAGGGCTTCTCAAACTTTAAACGCGTTTTTCTTTCTCTTTTGCGAATGGCGGGCACCATAACTCAAAAACTAATAACCCAATTGATTCCAAATTTTTACACGTTTCTCTGTGAGTTTATAGCTATCGTATGAACTAGGATAAAGCCAATCGGTGAAGATCTTCCTTATTTTTTAACTTGGTTTTTGGTCAAAAATCGGCGATTTTCCAAAAATATTTTTTCAAAGGTCCGCCATTTTGTTGCCAGACATGTACTCTTTCCAACGCCGTTAGAATTTTCGGATTCCGATGTTCCAGTGATGAGTTATCATGCCCGCCATCAAAAATAAGGACTTTTCTTTAATTGCAAAAAACAATAACAAAAGAATAACAAAATTTTTTTGTAAATTATTTGTCTTCTCTTTTAAATCTTCAAATATATATGTGTAATGTTACAAAACTTAACAAGCACTGGTATTGATTTACCAGCGCATTGAAAATCTTGAAAAATTAAAATGGAGAATGGGTGGGGTTCCCTTAAATAAAAAAAATTCTCCTAGACAATTTATGAACATAATGTAAACATTTGAACAAACACATTTTTGTCGTTATTTTCATATAAATAAAAAAATATTTGTGTACAACATATATGAAAAATATTTGCAGTGTTAAAAATATATCGATATACAAACAATTCCATATGTTGTCTAGTTAAACAGAATACTAAATTATTGCCAGTACATTTCAATCAATTGGAAAATTAACCCATTCATATGCAAAATAGTTCCCATTGTAATTGCATGGAACCGTCCAATTTGTATATGATTTTTGATTCACCGCGGTAATCAAAATAAATAAAGAATATAATGGGCAATGTGAGCAAAATTTTGTTATCTATTATTGAGATTTGGATTCACGGTACGACTGAATTTCATATACCTTCTGGTTATTATTGTGTCCATGGGGTACCAAACATTTTTAATTTTTCGAATATTGAACATAATAGAATAATACAAGTTATATTTTGAATTTCTAGTTAGTTATTGAAATGCCATCACCATATCTCTACCCTTGTAAAAGAAAGTCAATACAGAAAAGGGTTAAAAACATCCATGCTGTGTGGTCACATACACCAACAGAGGACAACAGAAATATCATTTAACGAACAGAGGACATGGAATAACACTGCATTCAATAACTGTGTGCCAAAAGAATGACCAATGAGAATGTTTGCATTTATTGGCAAATTTGTTGTCCATTCTTTTCCATGAATAATGACAACAATTACAATGCAGTGAGTGGAAACCAACGACCATGGTGACCATATGGAGCATATACCGCAGCATAAATATGGAACGAAATCAGACAAAACAAATAGACAAATGGCGTTAAGGTGAGATCGAGTCGAAAATGTTATACACTTCTATATTCATAAAACCTACATGAAAATATGAAAAAATAGATCCATTGAAAATATGAGCAGCAATAACCTGAACAAAAAAGGTGTTAAAAAGGAATAAAAGGGGAGGTTGGCGAATATTGGCTTCCGAAGCCCCTCACTTTCTATTATCCTCGACAAGAGGATAGATAACATCAAGTAGGAATGATAGGAAAGTGGTTGTTAATGTAGTGTATATTTTAATGCACATTGAATAGAAATGATGGCAACATACTACCCGGAATCCCTTATATGATGACGAATTTAAAGTCACATTTTCAATTATTTTATTGAATATTGAATGATATATTTAATATTGACAACGACCTATAAATTGCAATCAAAAAGGATTCAAATGTCATTGCAATACGGAGCACCAAAAAAAGAACATCAAATATTTGGTTTTGTGTAGTAAATGGTCAATGTTATATTTTGTTTTTGTAAATCATTGTTATATGGTGATTGAAAATGTGAAAATGCAAACAAATTAATGATATTCAGATTCAATTTATGCTCTTTTAATTAAAAGATTTCATTTTTATTTCAAATTGTATTTCAGTGACAATGTGTTTGTTTATTCACATCCCAAGCATCTAATTAAACAATTGATCTGCACTGTTGTTTAAAACTATGTTTAACAAAGTATTTATTACTAATTGTCGTCGTTGTTGTTGGATGTGCGCTCCCATGTGAGCTGAATACACCGAGCAGGTGCTCAACGCCAACAACATCTTGAGTAC